CGTGGCGATACAACGCGTAGTAATTCGACGCGTGAGAATACCACGCGTGGTGATACAACGCGTAGTAATTCGATGCGTGAGAATACCACGCGTGGTAATTTGATGCGTGGTAATTCGACGCGTGGTAATTCGATGCGTGGTAATTCGACGCATGACAATACCACACGTGGCGATACAACGCGTGAGAATACAGAGCGTGACGATACCACACGTGCCGATACAGCGCGTGACGATATCACACGTGACGATACCACGCATGCGAATAAAACACGTGACTATTCAACGCATGATACTTCTCCAATTCTCCAACTTTCAAGCCTTCAAATCTTCAAGTCTTCAAGTTCAAAATTTCTTACTCAGTAATCTCTCGCAATTATCTCCATTACACCTACACAAATGACTAAACGCCCAATAAAAATAATTTCTCCTGAAGATTAGACCTTCGCCTCGCTCAAACAACCATATACATAGCATATCAAATTTTCCTATATATAAGAATATACTATATCCACCCAGTAAATTTCGTAAAAAGGTATTTTTAAACGAGCCACCTCGTTTTTGCCGATTCACGAGTTAATGTCATTCCACGTAATTCGAGTTAATTCGAAACCGTCCGATGCATCCCCAGACGACACACGGTACCAACTCGTTCGCGTACTAGTCGTTTTTCTCTGAGCAACCGCTCGTGTCGTAATCTTTCATGGTGGTCCAGATCTTGCGGCTGGATTCTTCGAGGTCGCAGGCGAAACCGCGATCGTCCACGCGGCACACTCCGTTCACCAAAATATATGGCTACGTTACGGGCATTTCGTGCAGAAACAACCTTCCTTGACATCGATAAGCGCGGCTCTGAAGATTAAATCTTGCCGCGAAATTAAGAGGACGCTTCATCGGCTTGTATCGATTAAAGCTGGACGTGATTATCTGACATCGAATGATCTTCTTAAGGTCAGAACGAGAAACTTGATTTTGTGCGCTTGTATTTTACTGGTTTAATGTCTGCCGCTATTTTAATGAATCTTGAAAGGTTTTATAATGTACACATATGTCCACATGTGTGATCTTTGTTGAATTTAAAAAAAGTAAACATCCACATATATGTACGTATTAAATAATAAGAAGTATGAGGTTTAAAATTGAAGAGGTTAATGGATACTGTTTTGTAAAATTATAATTCATTGTATATATTTGTTAATAATGTAACTTTTAGACTAAACTTAGCCTTTGTGGACTACCACATGTGTTCACATCGTCTCGACCAGTGCTCTTTCATTTGTAAAGACAATGAGAAAAATTTATTTTGGCAGAAGGTTATGTCAAAAATATTACAAGGAATCATTAATAATTTATAAATAGGTTTGCAAAAGTGGGATAAGGAATAGTTTTACTCGTTAGAACGATACACCTTTCAAACAGCGAGTTCGATACATCAGGGCGGCTCTATTTTTCGCATCGACTCGTATTGGCACCGTATTAGGAAAGTAGTAGAAACGCGGTCACACCAGTACTGAGATTGAAAAAAGAAAAATCATTGGCTCTCCTCGAAGTGGTGAGAAAACTGCAAGTTTGAGCAGTGACATTTCCGTTTGGACATACTAAAACATTAGTTCTCAGAACACTAACTTTTATGATATAATTTTATACCTTTTTATCCTAAGTACACATGTGTGGACATATCGTATGTGTCATTGACCACAGGTCACATATGTGGACATCGTCATTATTTTTGTATAAAAAGAATTCTTGTAAGACTTATGTAAATGTTACAGATTAAAAATGAATCAAATATAGTTGCATCCAAAACCTAAATTATTTATTTGTTTCCACATCCCTGAAGAGGGTGAAAGACTTAAAAAAAAATACTACTTTAATGTGTCACTGAACTTAATCCTTCAGGAGTTACAAATAGAGCAATTTCAGGTAATCAGAAAGATGAAAGTATCGTGTGAATCTTCAGTCTCCTTAACGAGGTAAACTAAAAACAAGCGAGAAATCAGAAACTGTAACGATTCAGAGCGAGAAGTAGGTAAAACGATTGGACAACGTTCAAAGAATGGCTCGTATTCGTTGAACTTACCCTTGCTTTCTCGAGCGGAACCAGAAAAGAACGTTTGAAGGTTCTTTTAGTACATGGTACGTTGATTCCCAGAAGTTTTCGCGAGGTAATCCAGTTAACGGAGAAAACTTTCACCTACTTTGAAATTCGATAACGTATCGCGCTGGGAATCGAACTTATTTTCTAACGATTGTTTACGACGCAGTTTGGTCGATGGAATCGGGCGGAAAAGGAGTTTCTTATTGATTTTATTGAATTTCTGGAACGATTAGGGTGATGGGAAATGGGGTGGGTAAAGGCAATGGGTATTTGTGAGTGGTTGGATTTTCAGATTGAAAATTTGGGTGTTTTTAATTTGGAAACATATAAATTTCGAAGCTACCGAATTTTCAAATTTATAAATTTGTCAAAGTGATGACAATATAATGCTGAAGTAGTAAAGTCTTTGAAGAACTAAATCCTCAAGTCTTCAAATTCTTAAGTGCAAAAGTTGTCATGTCTTCAAATGCACAAATCTTCAAATGCTCATATCTTCAAATTCTCAAAGTTCCAAATCCTCAAATCCCTAAATTTTTAAGTTCCGAAATTGTCAAGTCTTCAAATGCTCAAATCACCCAACCCTCATATCTCCAAATCCTCAAAGTTCCAAATTCTCACGTACCCAAATCTCTAAAACCCTAAACACTCAAATCTCTGAAACCTTAAACCTCCAAACCCTCAACTTGCCAAATTTCCAAATTTTCTAATCTCCAAATCCTTGGATCCCCAAATCCTTAAATCCTCAAAATCCCTAAAATCCTGAACTTCCTAATTCTCCCAAATCCCCAAATCCTTAAACTCCGAAACCCTCAAGTTGCCAAATTTCTAAATTTTCTAATCTCCAAATCCTTGAATCCCCAAATCTTCAAATCCTCAAAATCCCTAAAATCCTGAATCTCCAAATTCTCCCAAATCCCCAAATCCCTAAACCCCCAAATCTCCAAGTTGCCAAATTTTTAAATTTTCTAATCTCTAAATCCTTGAATCCCCAAATCCTTAAATCCTCAAAATCCCAAAACTCCTGACCCTCCAAATCCTCCCAAATCCCCCAATCCCTAAACCCCCCAATCTCCAAATGTCCCCAAATCCCCAAAATCCACATGACACATCTCACATCAAAGTCCAACTTCAATTTAATATTCCTCCCCAACTTAGATTCCGTTCCAAATTTAATATCAGTTCTAACATTATTTATAGAGTGCACAAAAGTCTTTCGCTCAAGAATTTAAGTGTTTGATTATTAAAGCACCGCTGTATAATTGACCCAGCTGCAGTCATTCAAGGGTTAATTATGCAGATTCTCAAGGATCTCTATTTAAACAAACTTGACGGCTTTTCATCTCCCTAATGAATTCCATTTTAGCGATGCAAATTATTCAGCAATAAATCCATTTGAATCGATGCAAATTTCATAAATAATTAAAGGCAACCAATTTAAATAGACAGCGTCTACATTTCCTTCAAATCACATTCTATTAAATTTAACCTATTGAACCTCGAAGCACAATTGCTAATAATCATGAGTAATTACGGGCAATCGTAACAATCAAATCGCATGTGCTGAATATGGAACTGAGAAGGATTAACCCTTGTTTCTGGTAGCACGTGATATGCTTCCTTCAATAAATTCTTCCATTATTCCTATATTGATGCAGTCATCACTTTTGTATGAAGTTCTTTCTTTATATTATCAGTAACATAATCATCACTTATCACATCGTTATCACTTTAGGAAAAATTCTTGAAATATGCATTATACTGATTTGGTCAAATTTGGTCAAAGATCCTAATAGCGTAGGACATCTCATATAGTGTTTAATCATAAACGCGACGACTTAACATAAATTAACAATAAATTAAAATTACAATAAATTTACCAGAACTTCATTTCCCAAAACATACAAGTTTCCACAAGTTACATTTTTACACCAAGTTATTTTTGTGACAAAGTTTGAAACACGAGTTTGTCTCAAATCGTAGATATTCGGTGAAAAGTTCCCTGTATAGTTTTCGTACAGTTTCCGTGGCAGAATAAAAGCTTTAGCATCTGGTATGACGTGGGAAAGGATATTTGTAACATTTGGTTCTCGGTTTTGCCGTGTTTTCGACCGAACGTCACGCGATCCGACACACGCGAAAAAATTGTTCCCCCTTCCGGTCATAAAACTTTACAACTTGTCACGTTATTTACGAATCACATTAATAATAAAAGTATACAATCTGACAGGTTACTCATTGACATACTTAAATACTTTTATTTTCAATACTTCGGATTTAATCACTGGATTTTTATCGACCATTTATGATGATTGTGAGGTACATATGCGATCATAAACTTTGATGTTTCTTATGTGAGTTACCTAATTAAACTCATCTTCGATTGATTTAGAGAACTGCATTCTTGAGGTTCGTACTTTTTCTTAATTACTTTTCTTAGTTTTTTAGAAGAGTGTGCTAGATGGATATCTGGATGGATATCGAGTATGTAGGATACCTGAATGGACTTCATTAGGATAGAGGTTAACTATCATTAAATATTTGTACACATTTGTACGTTTATAAATATACATGTGTGTATGAATCCTGTTGCTGAGGAGCAAAATATATGTCTAGGGGCGATAAACGTGTAAACACATATACGTATGTATAAATATAATGAACATAACACATGTGGAATGAAGAGTCCATATGTAGATACATTTAAACACATATGAAGTGTGTTTGTCTCTACATGAGTTTGCCCCTACATGAGTTTGCCGCTAAACACGAAGTATTCGTACATAAATACACACACGAACAATGAATAATTCGCATTCCAATCCAAATAATTCAAATATCCGATCTCCCCGAAATCTTCCAAAAGAAAGTTGCCAGAAAGCAGTCGATAAAACATGTAAGTACTTACTCAACGTCTTATTGATCCAATCAGCCAGATCCTCCTGAAGCGGCAGCAACTGTCTGCTCTGGGCGGAGTGCAGACGCTCGTGGTAGAACTCAGCGAACTCTTCCTCTTCCGGCGACGGCCTGGGTACGTCGGCACGATTGAACACAGTTACCGAAGAGGGTCCCCAGCTGCTACGATAACGAGTGTGCTGAGACGACGGGAATCGATTGGTGTACGACATTCTGGGGTTGGCTCGAAGGGGCTGAAGGTCCCGATGGCCCGCACCGGCTTCTCTCTCTGTCTTTATCGGCGTTTACGTTCCCCTTTCTTTCTCCAAGTCCTCTGTCGGATACAGAACTCTCGACCTTTTCGCTACTGTACAGTCCCGATGACGTCGTGCGATGCTGCACGTCTGGCGATTACGTGAACCTGAAGAACAGAGAACCCGACGTTATCGCACACGGATGGAAAGAAACGTTTCGTCAGACATTTTGGCTGATCAGATAGAAAGAAATCGCACGCGTATTTTCGGACGAAAGAGACGAGATTATTGCGGGATCAGACGATGCCGGAAGAGGAGCGACCACGGTTACGAGCCCGTAACCATAAACGGGACGTGAGACGCGGCTCGGAACTCCTTGAGTGACTGGCAGCCACGGAAACGTTCCTTGAGTGTGCTTTTTCGGAATGAATGAGTTTTATGTTACAGGGATCTGCTTATGGGATGTCCGACAACTATGTTTCGTAATAACCTTGAGGGGGATGAGAGTGCAGCTTCGAGTGCTGTTTGGACGATGGAGGCGCGCGTGGAGCTCCGATGAGCCAGCAGTTCTTTGCCTTACGATTTTTAAGATATCTTCATAACTTGTTTCGTTTATTAAATTATATAATTATAAAAGATTTTTGTTATCAAGACATTCTGTACATTTTGCATTTTCTTTGCCTACTGTTCTCAGCAAATAATCATATAATTAAGACATTTTGGTTATCAAGACATTCTGTACATTTTACATGTTCTTTGCCCACCGTTCTCAGTAAATAATTAAATAATGAAGACATTTTGGTTATTAAGACATTCTGTACATTTTGCATTTTCTTTTTTTCCTAACTCTCTCAGCAAATAATGAAATAATCAAGACATTTTTGTTATTCAAACATTCTGTACATTTTGCATTCTGTTTACCCACCGCTCTCAGCAAATAGTCAAATAATTAAGACATTATGATTATTCAGACATTCTGTACATTTTGAATTTTCTTTGGCCACCGTTCTCAGCAAATAATCAAATGATTAAGACATTTTGGATATTCAGACACTCTGTACATTTTGCAGTTTCTTTACCTACCGTTCTCAGCAAATAATCAAATAATCAAGACATTATGGTTATTCAGACATTCTGTACATTTTGAATTTTCTTTGGCCACCATTCTCAGCAAATAATCAAATGATTAAGACATTTTGGATATTCAGACATTCTGTACATTTTACAGTTTCTTTACCTACCGTTCTCAACAAATAATCAAATAAGAAAGATGTCCTTTTCTCAGAGTTTCTAAAGGAAACAATATATTTTTCTGCTGCGAAACAACAATTGAATACCAACTTACAAAGTATCGGTCCTTTCAGTATCGGATTCGTAGACCATCGTCCAAGGATTCGATGCAAATTTCCCCGAAGTTCGCAATGTCCACAAACGCCTCTGTATTTAAACGACATTCAAATTCGCCATTAGCATTCTCCGACACGTGTCACGCACAAGCTTCGCAGTTTTGCTGAATCCGTTGCGTGGGATTGATCGAACTTACGACACCGGTGAAAAAATGGGGGAAAAAACGATGAAATTCTCATAAATCCTTCCAGACTCCTTGGAGGACGCGTCTATCGCCTCGGGTGACGCAAATCCATCGCTGATTCAAGTATGCGTTTGCGGATCGATGAAATGAAAATCCTGGTAATCGTCTCGTGTTCAAACCTACGACTGTCCTTCAACATCGATCTATTAACGTGCCGTCACTCTTTCTGACCAATGTAATGCAATATCTGGTAAACAGATGACAACTGAAGCTCGTTTTCAAGCAACGATATTCTTTTTTTTCTTGCGTTTATGGATACGCGACTTTGAGTTGATTTTCCGGGGATTGGTATGTCGAGTTGTGAGGTGGGATGTGGGTACTTTGTAGCATGTTAGGTATTCGTTTAGGTATTTTTGTAGAAGACACAATTTCTAGGTTTAAGTTTGTGAATTTGTAGATTTATAAATCTTTAAAGTTTCAATGTTGCAAATACTAAGATTGATATGTTCTTTAATTTATAAGTTCTGATTCTCAAATGACTAAATCTGACATTTCTCAAATCACCAAGTACTTAAATCTTTGTGTAGTCGGATCTCTCAAGGTTGTAAATCTTCTAATTCTCAAGTGGCCCAAAGTTGTAAATCTTCCAATTATCAACCCCTCAAATTCTGATAACTTCCAACTGCCACATCTTCAGGTTACCAAATCTTCCAATTCTCAAATACCCCAAATTCCAACCCCCCAAATTCTGAAATCTTCCAACTCTCAAACCCCTAAATTCCCAAATCTCCCAAGTCCCACAAATCCCCCAAATTCCAAATCTCCCAACACTCAAATCCCTAAATTCCAAATCTTCCAACTCTCAAATGTCCAAATTCCAAATCTCCCAACTCTCAAACCCCCAAATTCCCAAATCTCCCAAGTCCCACAAATCCCCCAAATTCCAAATCTCCCAACTCTCAAATCCCCAAATTTCCAAATCTTCCAACTCCCAAATCCCAAAGTTGTAAATCTTCCAATTATCAACCCCTCAAATTCTGATAACTTCCAACTGCCACATCTTCAGGTTACCAAATCTTCCAATTCTCAAATACCCCAAATTCCAACCCCCCAAATTCTGAAATCTTCCAACTCTCAAACCCCTAAATTCCCAAATCTCCCAAGTCCCACAAATCCCCCAAATTCCAACCCCCCAAATTCCAAATCTCCCAACTCCCAAACCCCCAAATTCCAAATCTCCCAACTCCCAAACCCCCAAATAATTCCAACCCCCCAAATTCTGAAATCTTCCAACTCTCAAACCCCTAAATTCCCAAATCTCCCAAGTCCCACAAATCCCCTAAATTCCAACCCCCCAAATTTCCAAATCTCCTAACTCCCAAACCCCCAAATTCCAAATCTCCCACCTCTCAAACCCCCAAACTCCCAACTCTCCCAAGTCCCACAACTCCCCAGATATAGCTACTCTCCCAAACCCTAAATCCCCAACTCCCCAAATCCTCAAACAAGAAAATTCCCAAACCTGCATCTACGCCAATGAAGTATACCTCGAGCTTCTCATAGGGAACGGTAACGTGTAGGCGAAAGATACCTCGATAGAGTTCTTCATTAATCAAACGGCCCAGGTGATCGATTATTCAACGACAGCTGGCCAATTAATAGCGTTTTCGCGTTATCGTGACAAATGGAGCAGAGAAACGAGCTTGTCGGCTTCAAGGTGAGGCGCCTATGCAACGAACCAAGATAACAAGAAACGCTCTGTGTATTTTGGTGTACGTGGATAATATCTTAATTGCATGTTCACTCGGTGTGGAGGTTGGAAAATTGTTTGTCTCGTACGAATCTTGACACAGTATTTGTGTCACGCATATATAAGATAAGTGAACTCGGTAATATTTAACATTCTCGAAAATTTACTCTTGTTATATAAAAATTCGAATCAATTAGGCTTCTCTGTAGAAAGCTTCGTTAAGATTCACAACGAAATTATTTAACCTTGTTTTTCAGTTAGATATTTCTGTGATTGATCATCGCATACCCACGTATCTTTACTCATCGCAATGCAAATCTGGAGGCGGTTAATCATAGAATCTCTGACACATCCGCGAATTTTTATTCCTACTTCACCCATCAAATTACTGAAGGCTGCCACGTGTTCCTCTGACGATTAATTGTTTGTGACATTATTTATGTTCTTTCATCGATAAGTAATTATAGCGAGAAGTTATACTTTAAAACTAGCTATGAATTATGTTGAAAATTTCAAACATGATTTAATTATAGACTCTCGTTATATGGCCGATAGTTGCTCTGTACATTAAACAAGTCAAAAAAAGTTCTTCAACACGAATTTTCATATAAATCAAGCACTGCAAAGCTATTATATCGCCAATTTCATAGCATTCTCTATTTTTACAATCCCATTTATTGCAATATATCGAAAGTTTTCTTATCAACTACAAAAATGAATCAAAATTCGCAACAGTCAACAAGAGACTTAACCTAACAACAGACAATAAAAGTATCCAAAATAAAACTCCAATCATTTACAAATAATTTCTGAGATTACTATAATTTGCACGCTCGATAATTAATATCTGAGCGTTATCGAAATTGAATTCCTTGTCAAGCGACTTATCTCACGTTTTGTTTACGATGTAAGGCAGCCGGATAAATTAATTTATGGAATTTGCGATGCGATATAAAATTCGTGAAGAGATTCTGCGGAATAAGCCACGACACGGTTAATCAATTTTCCACGGAATACTCGATTCTCGCCCACGGAGCGGATATAAGCTGTTCGATTTGCACAAACGTATATTTACGACCTCCAAGTTTTGCAAGATAATCGTTGGTCGGCAAAAAGCTTGAATTAATTGTTCCACTTCGGGCTGTTGCAAATGCCAAGCAGCACCCACGCGTTGCGTTGATTTTAATTAATTCCTCGCGGCACGAGTGACGCCACACGAAAATGTCGTGCATCAGATACACGCTGCATTGTGTCTAGACATCTAGACGGTCTAAGAACGGATGTAAACAGCGGATCGTGGAGGAAGAACGTAAGTAGTCTTAAAGACAGTCTTCCCATCATGCATGGGAAAAATGGGGAAAATTTTTTGCTTCTCCGTTAATATTTTTTAATTTATATGAATACTGTATTTCGAAGAGCAAGCTGCGATAATGAATGCTGCTTGACTATTGTGGATTGAATTCAAGCATTAAATTCGATAAAATTTTAATAGGGAGTATAATATTTTAATAGGGAAGTGGTTTCAGAGAATTTATTTTAGAAATTTATCAGACAATTCACCTTAAGAAATTGAAGATTTCATAACATGCATTGTTGCAATAGAGCGAAATGGCAGCCGAGTTAAATTGACTATGACCCAGTTATAAAACAGATCAAAACGATTTTATTAACACAGCAAATTTCCTGTATGAAAACAAAGAGCATGATCAATTGTTGTTGCTATAAAAATAGAAATGCCAGTTTCAGGAAAAAGTACAAACAGAAAGTCTTCATCGGAAGTACATAAAACTACATATCAGTACATAAAAATTATCCGAAATGTTCTTGTAAATAATGTATCTTAAAAATTTTGCTGAAATTCATAAGTAGAGCAACATGACCATAGT